AATTTACTGGAGGTTGATCACTTTCTGACGTGAGAACTGAAATCGCATATGAAATTTTTACTGTCTCCAGTTATTCTGTTTGCTAAGAGGGGCTTAATGAAATTTAGACAAAGAAAAGATTAGCAAACGCCATATCAACGATGTCAATTTCCTCTTAACCGAATTGCCAGTGACATCAGATACGTATCTTCGAAATAAGAGGGCATGTACCACGCCTTTTGTGGATTTTGGCATTGATTTTATGATTCTATGGTCACTTTCCAATCGCGGCAGCTGACTGATCATGAAGGTTGATGGTTAATTTATCACCGCGCTGTCCGCTACAGAATTTGGAAGTTCGTTGTAACACGTGGTCAAAATCGAAGTGAAAGGATGTTGCACCCACTGAACTCATCCGCTACCATATGAAGCTACTACTCAAAGCTTACACAATGTACAAAACTTATAATACTATTGTACTTTTCTTTGTATTCGTTATCCCTGAGCACATTCATTGTTCCGCATTCAGCTCTTTATTCAAGATTTTTTGACTAACTGGAATTGAGCAACCATTACTAGAGTTAATTCAGTAGCAATATAGGCTCGCCGTTGTCCATCCCAAGCCCAGAGAACAGAGAAGGATTGCTGGCGGCTTGTGAAGTCTCCTTAAAATGTAGCCACCTGCCCCTCGTAGTATTGCCGTCATCGAACGTTATGCTAGCTCAGTCGCAATTCGGGTTACCAATAGCCATGCTGACTGCTGAAAGATTGAGGCAGGCCGGAAAGAGTTGGCAATCGAAACCTTACATCGTCTTCCGACAGCAGAGTGGGCGTAGAAACAAAGCAGTGGATGCAGGACATCAACGAAACGACGATGGAGATGCCAATTGGCGACGGAGAGGCCACATTCTGAGCGGAGGATGAAAACAGGTATCATGGTACGTCAGAAAAGCTCAATGGGAACGAAACTACCAGCGCAAGCTTACAGACCAAGCCGAAGAACCTCTTAGGAAATATTTGCTCTACACCAGATTGTTAAGAAATCGTTGGAGTTCGCCGATTCAGTGTACGTATTTCGTTGACCTAGAGAAGGGTTATGAACAGATCCACCGCGACAGTCCATTGGAATGCCCGCGAAAATATCGCAGCGATGAGTAGTTGTTACAGGCCATACAATCATTATATGCTGATAATAGGTGCTGTGTCAGAGCAAATGGCGTTAAATGGAAATCTCACAGCGTTGGCACTAGTCTTCGTAAATTCTGCCATCTGTTCCTTTCCCGTTTATGTTGTACATGGAGAGAATAGTCAGGCTCGGCCAAGACGATGATTACATCAACGTAGGAGATATCGAAACGAGAAGTTCGCTGTTTGTAGACAGCTATCTCGCGCTCGCCATCTTTGAATATGCTAAAAAATAGCCATTAATCTGTATGTGGGTGCTTAATGGTGTAATATAGCCGTTCAAGCTTCGAGTGGATGCAGCTTTCATCATTTTCTATGCAGAACGACACACGTGAACTATACTTTCTCGGAAACAACGACATCTGTATACACCATATGTCCATTTTTATAATGTTCTGCGGCAAAGGCCCGTGTTTTGATCGAAATTTTGAACTTCAGCAATGAAATACCCATAGCGGTATTTTTAAAATTTGATGGTTTGATGCTCATCATTTTCTGACTGGCATTTCATGCTCAGTTAGCATGCCGCGTTTCGTTCTATATTCGCGGGGCTGAGCGACTCATTTTCTGTTAACTTTTCTATGTCTGAGTGACATCAGCTCATTTCTGAGCCAACATTACCGGCTTTGACTTCCTAACTAGTGTATGGAAGTTACACTATAGTTGCAAATTTTTAGCCCGCAGTCCTGATCATCACATTTTCTCTAAGCGAGTCATGGAGGCTCTTAACACGATATTTTCGAAGATGTTCTGTGCTGTTACAGTTCATCTGGTTTCTGCGCAGGCGGTGTTGCGTCTGGTCTTAATTTTATGGTCGACTGACTCAGAAGTTATTCTGAAATTACCCAATGATTCTTCCCCGTGTCTGCGTATCGCGTGTCTGCGACTGTTGGTCAGGATATTGATCTGATATATCATATCAGTTGTTTCTTGAAGGAGGAGAATCCATTTTTTACTTTTGCTAGCGGCACAGCTTCTCTCTTGATATAACGGCAACCACTATGTTCAAAGAATTGATAACCCACCTGATACATTCTGGTAAACTCGCCAACTGGCCTGCCGCAAAGTAAGACATGTATGTTGTAAATGCGGTTTCATGTTTCTCACCCAGCTCTGCGCCTCGATCCTTTCTAAATTAAACGTTCTTGAATATCAACAGTTTGTTCTAATACGTCAGAAATGAGGCACTGGACTAGCAACAGAGGGATCAGAACTAAGTTAAAATAGTGATGAGTAGTTTCATGTATGCTTTTCGAAACAAAGGTTGTCATTAAACCACTGGTTAAGCCTAAGTTTTGGCTTAGCCTTAGTTTGAAAACTTTGTTTGGTCCTCAGGTTAAACCTTGGTTTAGTTCTTATTTAGCCTTAGCTTATGCTGAGGCGTACGCTTACGTTTGGGCTAAGATATACGGAAAGTCTTAGCTTTTTCCTTAAAGTCAGGCGTAAGCATATGTTTAGGCTTGCGCGTGCACGTATATACGTACTTCTGCCTAGACTTGTTGTGGCAATCTCTAGCGACCTTAAGTGCTAATGCTAAATCTCAAGCTTAAGTTTAGAAACAGGTTTCAGCTTGGTCCTCGCCAAGTCTATGGTCAGTGTTTCAACTCAGTCTTAAACATTTGTTAAACCTGAGGCTTCGTCTTAGTCTGTATGTTTGGTGTAAGCTAATTTGAGGCCTAAGTTCGAAGGCTCGTTGCAAGAGTACTCTTCTTAAAATCTGGTTGTTCCCAAGAGGATAGAATTTTGCCGTTCCGTGATCGTAATCATTCAATCTTCAATCTCTCTTCTTTCCTTAGCAACAAAGCGCTCTCCCTCGGGGCATGCCATATCAAAGATGTGTGCCCTCGGTTTTGCTTTATGTGCAAAAACGGTATCCAGCAACGATAAGATTACTATTTACTTGCTTGCATTGGAAGTCCCAGAGGATTTTCATTTTCCCAGTTTAATCCGATTCTTTACGTTGATGTTTTCACCATTGGTTTTCCACTCGTAAGTTGGCACTCTGTGGCCTCTGGTTATTTCAACATTATTGTGCTAAAATGGGCGCGTCTTCTGAAGAAGTTTCAAGCTGAGCGAGATGATGATTTGTACCTAAATTTCATGCATAATTTACAAAAGTGGACAGGTTTCCATTTATATATTTAAGTTATAACTCGAACAGATCAAAACGGATTGACGAGTACGCGACCATTCTCGAATCCAGAGCAAGATCCCCAACGATTTTGCATATCGTAATGGCAAATGGCCTGTATTTTAGGCATATTTTTGTGTCACTGTCACCCAGTTTGGATGACTAGCCTTATTGGAACCGAGTTTATGACTAGAGTTCAAAGGTGTGAAAGATTCTGTTGTGTCGAGTGGTTCAGTGGAAATGTAAATTGAACGATAGAGCATATGAGAAGACAAATAATACAGCATGATCAAGTGCTGAAGGGTCGGTGACACAGCAACGGCAACCATGCCGAGTTAATCGTGCACGTCTCTTTCCGAATGTTAATTTTGTTACGATTTTTCCCTATCACAGCTTCAAATGGTTTGCTTAAAAGTCTGCACATTTCCTCCTGCGTGTACGTGGTTGCTGTAAACCGCATAGCTCCCCGTTTTTCTGACCTCTACACCACTAGAGGAACATGACTTCCATACTGACAACCTCATTACTCTAATCACCTTTCAGCTTATGCGATCTCGGTGAATTTGAAGATCAAGAAACGAAAGTTGAACCTGTTTAACATACTGACTGAGCATGCAACGCTTACCTCAGTCCATGAGCTGCTTGCATGAAAGCCGAAACACGGCCGACATATACCAAAAGTCCCGTATGCAGTACACTGGAACAATGTAGAGGTATATCTGCACTTAAAGAATAATTTTTCCTTTTAAGATATAGTAACCTTGCCTTATAGCATGAATGTTGAATAGCTGCGGATACAGCGGACATCATAAACCAGAGATGTCCTGCTTATGCAAAAGGCTCAAGTTGATGGCCTCGACAAACCATAACAGTGAGCGACCTGGATGCCAGACCAGTTGTGAACTGTCATCCTTCTTCAGACTACCGATCTCCATGACCTGGTATATGGGACTCTCAGAGTCTCATAATTTCCCGCTTGTAACATGCCGCAGTGCAAATAACTCATCTACTCATCTAGTTTGCCATCATTGTTCAAAGTCCACACGTTCCAGCAAGCGACATGAAACTTCTCCTTGCAGAAATGGAGTTTTTGAGAGTTGGATTTCCTGACATAAGCGCTCGAACCGCCTGTGAATCACGTAAATACAAGCCTCTCACTTCACAGCTGAAGGAAAACGCGACAGCACCACTCACCGCTATAAACAGTCTATTATGTGTACATCCTCTCGTTATTCTGTTGTGCAATTTTTACCTTGTTTGTAATAATTGACCGTGATATTTTGTTTATTTTTGCTTAAGTTCTTTCTTACCTTTTGAGTGCCTTCGGCATCATGAAGGTTGCAGGTTTTTTGATGAATTTGTTCATTTGACCCTTGTAAGAACTATGAAATTTGAGCAAATGCCACTAGAAGCCATAAAAAGCGACAGGAAGGAGTTTTGTATGAAATCAATCTATACGTCAACCAGGGAAAAACGGGTCTAGAAGTCATTCTGAAGGCTGATCTCAGAGGGATAGAAAGCAAAAACGATTAACATCAAACAAAGCGCATGGCATTGAGTGGCTTTTCTGAAACAAGTTCCATTCCTCTTTCTTACTCAGGGTGCCAAGACACAAACGAATTTAAATTTATTTGTAGCATTATCGCAAAAACTGTTTTAACATTTATAAGGAACAAGTCACACTCATCCGTGAAGTTTGAAGTTTTCATCGGAAAATTTTTAATAGATCTACTCTTTTCAGATGACAGTTTGGCCGGATTTTCTTCACTACAATCGACAAGTACTGGTATTGGATCTCCAACGCGTTCAAGCCACAGTTTTCATTGATGACGTTACTGGAGCACTGCAGGATTTCGTTGAACATCTTGCACAGATTTTGAGCTTTGATGATTCGTGGAAATCCCTGTGGTAAGCAGCTCTTATACTCGGGCGTAAGGAACACCTCGCGGAGGCAGTTGAAGTGTTCGAAGAAATCTTCCTTGGTGGCCTTGCGGCACGGGTATGCCAGCGTGTAATAGACGTCGTCGTATATACGATAGCGTTTGAAGCAGCGGCGCCTGGCGCTGAGGGGCGTGTTAACATTTGCCACCTTGTAATTGTAGCACTTAGCGGCCAGCGTCCCGTCATCCAGTGAATAAACAATCGGAAATATGTCACTCTCGCCGGCTCGCTCCATAATGAACTCGTGCAAGGTTCGGAAATTTTTGTCAATTATTGCCTTGTCTTCTTTTGTACATTCGTTTTTCCTCAAGTTTATCATCGCTGAAAACAATCAAATACAATCATAGCTTTCAAAGAATGACAATACTGAGTAACTTCAGGATAAGTGATGATAGTTAAAAGGCGAAAATGACAGATTTGGGGATTAAACTTATCTCGGTAGCTTTCCATGTTTCGCTGAGGACAGTATTCACTCCTCGTTACGAGTTTTCAAACAGAAACTTTTGTATCACCATACCTTTGTCCACTGAACTTGCAGGTGTTGGCTTCGTCGCTTTTGGTTGTTCCTGTTTGCGTAATTCCTCACTCTGTGACTCTGGTTTAGGGCGCGTTTGGCGTTCCAATGGTTTGCTTGTCGTAGGTCGTGATTTTCTCTTTGTCTCAACTTTCGATTCAGAAGTTATTATTTGAGGAGTCGTCATTTCTTCATCTCTGTCTTCATTTTCACTATCTTCTCTACTTAACGTAGTTGTGCTTTGATCATCGATTTCTTTAACTTCCTCTGATTGGATTCCTTCGCCTTAAACAACAACGGATTGAAAACTATTATATTCAAGTAAAGTATTTCAAGCTTAGGTAATTAAAGTTTTAATTTCCGTACCAGTGGAACATATTTTGATTCGGCGTTGCAGCGTTTTTAATTACTCGCAATGTACTACGTTAATGTGTGTTCGACAAAGATGGATGATGAAGTTCTTACGTTATAATTCATCAAACATTCTTGTTAGAAATTGTCTCTTCCGCAGACAGTAGTATACTAAGGAAACAGGTTCTATGACCATATCATGGTATCGTGAAACATAAAAATATGGCCAGGTATGCGTTATGCAACGACTCACTGACACTTAGAAACGCGCCATCGCCACCTCCTCAGAGTCTGTAGATCCAAAATGCATTCATTAAGCTTTGAGAACATGAGTGAATCAAACTGACGCGAGATACATTAACCACTGCAGCTGTAAAAATGTAATGAAACATCGGCCCGTTTCAATGATCCCTAGACGCTGGAGAAAGGAAGTGACTCCCTTAAGCGCGAAATCGAGTTTTCGAAGGAACGAATCTTCTAACTGTAATTTACTGTCTTCGAGTTTTAAGCATACGAAGCCCTGCATCCACTGCATATCTGCTCAAGTTTGTTCACTAATCTGATCTGTCTAAATTTTCTATTCATTATTAGGCGCTTCGATTTTGTGCCCATGATTTACCGTTTTGACATTTTCATGTTAGACGACTTAAGAACCCAAGCGGCCCTGGTAACGTTTTACCTGAACGGAGGAATTTTGTTGCCGACACCGGCAGGAATAAATTGATTCAATGGAATCAGCTATCATTTATTCAGCAGCCTCGACAAGTAATATAGTTAGACACGAATAGCAATTACTGATGAAGCAGATCCATTGACTATTCATCTGAACCATTGTGCTGGAATATACGAAATCCTTATACAAGAATGAAAGAAAGAAGGCCTGGACAAATGAATGACTGAATGAACAAACGAAGGGATAAATAATGCAAGAATTAATAAATAAACCCTAAATGAATAAACTAATGAAAAAATGGTTGTTTCATTTATTTGTTGAGATCATCATTGATTGAGTATTTCGTTTATGCGTTGATGATCCTACGGAAACTTATATAAAAACACGATTTATTCATGTACGACGCAATCAAATTGGTCAATGAGGTGATTAACCAGCACTGCCCTTTCGGCCTTTGTCTCACGGGTGGACAGGATTGACATTGACTTCCGCAGTTCCCTTCCTGGTCCGCAGCTACTGCAACGTTTAAAATAAAAAGCTGTGCTTTTTGGCCCTGCTATTGCCTAAGTTGTGCTTTGCCAACAGACTTGAAACGCCTGCCCAATTCGCTAAAGTTCGCATCCTCTATTCCGGTTGACGTTTACGCAGGATTGGCCAGTTAATGCCTCTCTGATGCGTCTGTTCAGCCAATTTCTTTCGTTGATGATGGCTGTGCAATCTTACCATTGGAGATGAAACTGCATTGACAAATTTGTTTGCATGATGTATGAATAAACCGCATTTCTTCTACCTCTTTGAGGCAATCATTTCTCGAAAAACAGAACTTCTCGTTTCTCCTGTCTCCTGCCTTCACAGCCTTTTATACCTTTGCTATACAACACAGGTTATTGCATCGTAGAAGGAAATGTTCCTAAACCGCATGGAGATCTGCCTCTGTCGTGTTCCTGCAGGCAACTTACTGGCCTCCTGAATTATTCCTGAAGATGGTCGATGCTGATTCGGCCAAAACGTTGGAAATTTATTTATTTTCTTGTTTCTCGTGCTGCCAACTATGGGATTAGAAGACTTCACCTTCTAGTCGTCTACAGTGCGGTATCGATATGCGCCTAAGAAATTTTTTTACAGGAAGTATCCTGCGTTTCAGCATTACGGTTCTTCTGGTCTTTTCTGAACACTTTCAATCATGAGCCATCAGTTCAGCTGAGAAAGTGTGGCGTTTGAGTTTCAAAAAGGAAAAGTGCTTGCATCGCAGGCTCAATCACAGGAAAACAGTTCAATTCGTTCATCAAATTTCATCAATTAATCAATCAAATTCATTAAACCGTATGAATATCATTGTAACGAGCAGTACACTAGTGCTGAATGGAACAGGACTGGATTCACTCAGGAGATGACGTCTGCACGCTTGTTTCTCCTTCTTTTCTTATCTAATCATCTATCCAACTTTCAGAATTACGGCAGCGGCCGATCAGAATGTTGAATTCTGTATTCCCACGCCCAATCGTGCAACAAGGCAGTAGTTGCTCGTTTTTTGGACTAATATGTTAGTTTCCAAATGCAATGCAAAACTGCTACCCTCACATCTTGGAAATAGTAAATTAGTCGATGGAGTTATTAAGTAACTACGATTAACATTTTGCGTAAATACAATACAACGGTTTCCACGTCATTGCCAATTGAATGCACAGGTGATACTTTAGGTATGCCTTATTACTCGAAACTTTAACGAAGATAAATGTTTGAGGCCGCCCATTTGCTAATACTGCATATCGGTATCATAAATCAAATATTTCGGTCGTGAGGGCATACGCAAGATGCTGACCTCGAGCTCCACAGGTGCCACGTTCGAATCCTGAAACAAAGATCTATTAGCCTGTAATTTCTATAAGCAAGCAGCTTTCCTCATGTTGCTCCAGTTTAGTCAGCCATAAAGCGAGTAACAGTCGTCGACATGCGAACAACGGGCGCAGCATTGTGTTTTGGTGTGTTCATGCCAGCGTAAGCGAGAGATGAGACCGTGTTGTTCAATGCGATCGCCTCATTTGGCCATGCTTTTCATTGACTCACCTTACATTCGATTATGTAGTGTGATATTTAGCCAATTGGTGTAAAATAGAAAATACTGCACTGGAAAATAATAAACTTGAGGCCTTACCTTTATCTGCTGTGCCCTTGAGGCTGGCTTGTTTCTCTTCGTGTTCCAATGGCTCCTTTGACTCCTCGGTTGTTGAAATTTCATCAGTATCCAAAAATGGTATGAACGACTTGTGCATGGCCGTGTCAGGTGCCGTTTCACTGTCAACCATTTTGGTCTCAGCCGATAGCGACAGAACCGCGATCGGCTTGTGTTTATCCGCTGACTTTCGCTGGACTTTGTCGCTTTGGCTTTTCGTCATTAACTGCAGTTTTTCAGATCCGGTGCGAAACACCTCCGTAGACGTCTCCGATGGGGCCGCCTCCAAAATCGTGTATGACTCAGGCAGAGGCGGGGTCGTGCCTGCTTGACCAGTGGTTGTTTCCACGTATTCCTCTAAGCTGAACACTTCGTCCGGGATCTCACAAGCGCACTGCTGACAGCCGTCATGTCCTGTTACCGTGATGCAAATCGGAGGTCGGTAAGGACACTTGATCGATGGACACGTTTTCATCGGCTTGCAGTAGCAGTTGGTCGGGCATTGATTGTACCATGTCACCGTGCATCGATCCGGGCAATGAAACGGGCGGCCACAGCTTGGGTCATCTGAGAATGAATGTCGATTATCTCGTGTTAGACAGGTAGCAGAGGCAAACTACTTTAAGACGAGTACGGTAAATAGAAATGACGATAACTGAAAATTGCGTAGTAATTTAGACAACTGCCAGCATTGTCAGGCTTGCAATGAATTGCTGGAAGAACTACGCGAAATGCATGGGTGGGTCAAAGGAACAATAAAATGGTCAGATAGATAATATCTGAGTTAAATTACTGTGAGTCGCTTCGTTTCCAGGTCAAGTGAGTACGACGGTGGATCATGTGAGGAAGTCAGAGGAAAGATTTTCCAAGCAGATCACTTAGAAAAGTCACGGAGAAGACAACAGAGCAGATTTCTCGATTACATGGAAAAACTAGCGCTGTCGCGTCTTGGAATTCAAACCCTGAGTCGAGACCATAAAAAATACCTCTTAAAGAGATTCAAAGTGATAAGTGAACTTGGAAGGTGAATACGTGAATAATTAAAACAGTGTAGCAAAAACAACCAGTTCAGAGCACTTGGGGCTGGTTTGAAGTTG